AACAAACTGTTAAGTTACAAAATTAAGAATAACATTTTTTATAGCCTTAAGCTGAAATTTGTATAAAAATTTTTATTATATATTAATATTTTTTTATGTAAGTTAACTAGCATAACTTAAGACTTCATCTAATTACATACATATTATAAATTACTTTGATTTATGTTCTTTCTCAGAATAAATTATTTACAGTGCATTTAAAAAGTGTTCTTGAAAATAAATCATGTTGCTGACTGTTCGGTAGTTTTGTACTTATTACTTTATATGAAAATTTTATTCTACCACACTTAAGGTAGTTACCTTTAGTAACTGTAAACAATTGTTTTCCAACTTAAATAATATTATTAGGTAATAGAAAAACCTTAAGCCATTTAAGTAATGTTATTAGGTAATAGAAAAGTCCTAAGCAATTTAGATATATTTAAGTCATAAAACTCAAATAAGAAATTGAAATACTTTCAACAAGAAATTAATTAATTTTAATTAGATTAAAAAAATATAATTTTCAAACAATAAATTTTTTTTGACCTATATTTTAATATACACATTAAAATAAAAGTTATTTCAAATAAATGTGTTAATAACAACTTGAATAATTTTGATATCGCAATTCCCTGTACTATACAGCTTTGAAATCGCCCAAAAGCCGATACTGCTACAAAGCTCTTCAAAACTTTGTGAACGCTTTCGCATTACTTCGAGGATGATCTCTTTTATTTTAGCATTTCAAACCATTCTCTTGTGATTTTCGATCTGCGTCCAGACCTCCACTTTTTCATCGCATTTCATCGCATTAGTGTCTGCACTATTTATTATTGTACTAATGTCACTCATTGTACATGGATTAGTGGAAATTAAATAAGAATATAATGATTCGGTAATTCGGTCAGACCGACCATCGTCGGAATAATATGCCCGACTCCCTAACATTTTTATGTAGTATATTGACTCAACACTTTCTCTTCGGCGAGACATTCCCCTCGAAACCACTTTCGTATTACTTTGAAGATGGTCTCTTTTATGTTAACATTTCAAGCCATTCTCTTGTGATTTTCGATCTGCATCCAGACCAACACTTTTTCAGGTCTAGGTCTAATTCTTTCTAAGTCTCATTTTTTCGCTTTGAGAACTTAAATCAAATATGACATTAATCACTTCGTTTGACAGTTCTCCAGATTCGGTATCATCTTTTCTATTATATTTTCGGGATTTATTGGTATTGATTTTAAACATTTGCTAAAAAGAAATTATATGGCTTTACAATTTATTTTTACATTTTATTTTTTACATTTTTTTACATTTTAAAATAGCTATCATCTATATCCATAATATCTATGATTCTTAACATATAGGGAAAATAAATATAATTAAAACAAACATTAAACTATATATGATTTTTATTATATACTCACTTTCCAAACATACCTTCTGCTCAAAAAGTATTCGGATTTTTTAAATAAAACACAAATTATAAATTAAATTTTATTCCAAATTTATTTTATATCCTTCAAAATATGCTCTTTCTGAAGCGATACACATATGCCACCGCTTAACCCAATATTTCATACACTTTTCGTAGGCCCGTGAAGGTATAACTTTTAGTTTCTTCAGCGAATTCTCTTTTACCGATTCAATCGACAAAATCCGGATACTTTTTGAGCAGAAGCTATACTGAGCTATACTTAAATCGTATTCTAGGTATATATTTTCTTTTTACTGCTTAATGAAAGCACACTGTAAAAGCAAAAAAAAAAAAAAATAAATAAATAAATAAATTATAGATTCTTATGGGACATAAGCTTGACTAATTTCAAATCTCAATAGGCAAACATTGCATAAATATTAATGGAATAAGATTGCGTATATGTTGTAGATAAAAAGTTAGCATAACTTAACTGAAATATCTACCTGGAATGTTTTTAGAACAAACCACATTCCTGAGGTGCGCCACAAGTATGTAGTTTCGATATAAAATTGCCGTAGGCAATATTTTTTCAATTTTATCATCAAATTTGAAAGGAAATTCTAAAGGCAACAAATTAAAGAAACGTCATTGCAAAGCATAAAATAAACATTTTTAAGGCCAAGGTATTTTCGACAATAAAAAAAATATCCAAAAACGATTAACAGTGAAATTTTGTTTAAAAATTTCAAAATATATACAATGAATAAAAATTAATTTCATTTATTTTTATATTTTTATTATTGTAAAATTGGTTTAGTAAAATCACTGGTAGTAATTTTATGAATAAAATGTTTTCTTTTTCTTTTATTTTAATCCAATTTAAAATATCTTTTTTTTTTAATATGAGCCCGTGCAACAAATATTCATTGAAAAATATTATTAAAAAACTATGTAACAATGAACTATTATGATAAAAAAAAATTGTTCCATCATGACTTGTGATGTGATATTGTGTGCAAGGCATAAAAAATTATCAACTGGAACGAATTAAAAAATAACTATCGTAATTGTAATCCAATACGGAAGCAAGTCCAATGCACGCGTACCTTAGCATTAAATTATTGCCGGTTCTTTACAGTAATTACATATTATACAATAGATATGTGAAGACATATATGCACAACAAACTATTTATCTATTTTTTTTAACCGCAGATCTGAGCTCGTATATGTAATATATTATCCATATCAGAGTGAGTGCAAGGTAAAAACCGCTAAGATACTCGTTACTTATTACTCGTAGAAAGTCAACTATTGAAGTTGATGATTTTCAATGTTAATTACATTTACTTACAACCTTTTTTCCCCGCCATTTGACAATTATTACAGTTTTTGTGTTTTACAGCAGAAAAACTTGCTGCTATGCAACTCCACATTATTTATTAACACAAATAAAAATGTGAGCGAAGACGTTGCATTTAATGTAAGCTTATTTTTCATGCACAAGAATTACGCTAAATTCTTCAGATACTCGTACTTTATTATTCCAGTTTTAATTTTATGCTCGATTAAAAATTGTTATATCCTTTCCACGCCAAGGTATCTCCGGCACGCAAACTTTGACTTGTTTATTTAATGGTTTTAGTCTGTCCTATACCGCATCATAAATTTTTTAATATCATTTTTACGATTAAAAGAAAATTAAAATATTTGCAATTTACAACTGACCTCTCTCTATTCCTCATTATTTCTTCAATGAAATATGGTATAGTTTAATATTAATTATTTTCATTGGCATTTATTTTTAAATAGCATATATTCGCAAACGATGCATCATATTAACGTTAACAATTAACTATCTATAATTATAAAAAAATATGCAATATAAATAATTATATTATGAAGTATTTAACTACTACTTATATTCAATTTGTTAGAATTATATATTAAATGACAGTCAAACACACAAGCAATAATAAATTCATATAATAAATGTTGTTTATAATATTAACATATATCATGATAATAAATATAATATTAGTATAAATCTTATATAATTTATTGACGTTATATGAATTATTTCATTTTATATTTATTATTCCTTTCACTCATGTATATAATGGGTACAGAAAGCCTTCAAACTAGGTTAATACGAAACTTCTTTAATTAGTTACAAGTCTTCATTCCTTCCACCGTGAAGGGAGTAGCCTCTAAAACTCGAAATATAAGCCTTTTATAAATCGTATTTATTTTCGACATCCTTTAATGCTATAATTCGAAGTTTTGGAAAGCTGACCTCTACAAGTTCATTTTTCTTATTTTGAATTTCAATCACTAATTATGCTTGATTTCGAGGAATTATGCTATCACCTACATACAAAATATCACTATTAATGTTTGTTT